TCTTTCTTTGCTTTGTAGGTGTCTTAGATCTGTGTGGTGTCGCCCAGCTCAATTGCTGATAGATCATGGTGGTGTTTCAGGTGATTTGAAGAAATTGCTCGTCCAGCCGACTGGGTTGCAAGCCCGGGAGCAAAGGATCCTTTACAGAGGGAAGGAGAAGGACAGTGGCGATTACTTGCATCTAGTTGGAGTGAAGGACAAGGCGAAAGTAGTGCTCATCGAGGATCCCGAGAGCCGCGAGAGGAAGCAAGAGGAGTCCCGACACAACGAACGAATCTTGAGGACCTCCAAAGCTGTGTCGGCCATTAAGTCTGAGGTCGATAAGCTTGCTGAAAGGGTACTACTCCTCTCTTTTCTTGTTTTCTTTGCTTAGAGTTTCTCTCGGGCTTATGTGTTGCTTCTCTCTCGGATTTGCAGGTTTTGACGGTAGAGAACGATGTTCACAGACGAGTCGAGGTCCCCGAGTCCGAATTCGACTCGCTAACCGAGGCCTTGATGATGCTGCTGCTGAAGCTGGATGGGATCGAAGCTTTTGGTGACGCTAAAGCCCAAAGAAGGATTCAGGTAAAACCTTCGATCTGGATTCCCGATGCGAGTGCTTGACTTCTCTCTCCTTGTTTCTTTGTCTCGAAGGTCAGGAGAGTCCAAAAATTTGTGGAAGCCCTCGACGCGTTGAAAATGAAGAACTCGTCTCCTCCAAGTGTCGCAGCCAAGGAGCAAAGCCCCGCGAAAAACTCGTCCAGTAGCAGCAACGCGGCCGCCATTGTTGTCACGACCCAGTGGGAAACCTTTGAAACATCGGCAGGGAATTTCATCTCCACACCTCCAAAACCGGCTACCACAGCAATTGAGACCGATTGGGAGAGGTTTGTACGAGTTTTCGAGATTTCTTTGCTGTGTTCTAACGATTCTTCTGGGTTTTTTTTTTTTTTCCTTTTTTCCTTTTTTCTCGTTCCAGAGCGCTCTTCACATAGAAGGTAGTGAAGTTTTATTGGTGGCGTGGTCATTCAAGGCTCGATCATATATAGAGATCAATCTTTTCGTGATTGTCGAATTGGTGCAAGCAAGGAGAAGAAGGAAGAAGAAAGAAGAAGAAAAAATTGGAGCTTGTAGAAAGAATGGAAAAGCTATGGTAAGGAGGAGGCGCAATTCTTTGTATAGTATCATAAAACATTTGTTTTGCGGAATGGGGTTGTGTGTGGTAATAAAAAAGAAGCGCGAATGTTTTGGATTTGAAAAGATTCTTTAAGCCTTTGAGAATCTTCCTCTCTGGCTATGGCGGATTAGGGCTTAGGGTTTTAGGTAGGTGTTGGAGAAGAAATGGTGCCCGCGTGACAGCGCGGTCGAGATCATGGCGAATGCCGAGATCAGGAATACACTGCTGCTAGCGTCAGCGATCCTGTTCTTGTTCTTGGGATTGCTGCCCGCGCGTGGAGGAAGGCCTCACATCAGCAATCTCAATGTTCTTCTTCCGCCGAGGACGACGACTCCAGTGCGCTATCGGCTCCAGGGAACCGATGGCTGCTTCGTTTGGTGAGCTGAGCGGCATTCTTGTGTAACAGTAGAGATATTTGGATTCTTTGGACAGGACTTGGGATCATCACGACATTATCTCGCTTGTTCCAGAGTACAACGGCACGTCCAGCGATTGCTCCACCAGCGCTTTGATCACACCGCTTTCTCCATTCGAGGAGAGGCAAGCGACGGCGGTCCATGCCACCGACACTGTCACGGGGGAAATTCTGCGCTGCGAAGTCTTCATCGATAAGATCTCTCGGATACAAATATTTCATCACTCCGTGAAACTCGATCTCGATGGATGGGCGACGCTGCGCATTCGTGCTTTCGATGCCGAAGGTAAACGATTGGTGTTTTAGTTTGTGATCGATTGAGCGGTTCCTGTCTTCTTTCCAGAGAATGTGTTTTCATCGCTGGTGGGATTGAAATTCGCGTGGCAGCTATCTTCGTTTGATCCTGCTGGCGAAACGCTTCCTCAAAAATTACTACACGTTCCTCTCAAAGACAGTCCTTTGAGCGACTGCGGCTGTATGTGCGGAGACCTTGGTACTCAAATAGAGTTGGAGGACCAGGTAGACATCCATTCGATTCGCTGAAAAGAATTCATCTTTTTGTGTGTGCCTGTGCTTCAGGGGTTTGGATCTGATTTATACGTTGTCCGAGGAGTGAGTACTGGACAGGAGAGAGTAAAGGCCAGGCTAGTGGAACCGAGAATGGAAGAGCTGGATGATACATTGGTCTTGACTGTTGCCGAGGCGATCTCTCTGGAGCCGCACTCTCCTCTGTATATTATTCCGGGAACGAGCTTTCGGTTCAAGTTGAAGGCTATGCGTAAAAACGTCTTATCAGGTATACATGTTTTTCTGTTTTCACGGACTTCTGTTGGAACTCACGTGTTTGTGCGACCATGCAGAGATTCCATTGCCTTCTGTATATCACAAGTGGTCTGTTACAAACGAGGCTGTCGCTTCGGTTGACCAAAACAGCGCTCTTATTGCTGCAAAAGTTGTGGGCGTAACGAATGTTATCGTGGAAGACGTCAGAGTTAAAGGGCATCAACAAATGGCTACTGTGCATGTTGTCATTCCCACAAGACTAGAACTTCATCTCCTACCCCTTTACAAAAAGGAAGCGCATTCTCGCAAGCTGGATGTCGAAGGCAGGGTATCAGGGGAAACTTGGTACATCGTGTCCGGCAGGGAGTACGTGGTTAATGTTCGGGCGTTTGCTCTCGACTCCGCTCGTGCTCTTTACCTGACGCAGGTCTTTTCCTTCTTCGTTTTGTTTTTTTGCTAACTTTTGTATGCGACAGAGTAACGATTTGAGACTTCTTTTCACGTACCTGCCGTACTGGGAAGCTGTTGAAGTTCCCGAAGATGTTTCATCCGAACATGGATGGCAAAATGCGACGCTGCTGAAAGCTAATGCTGAGGGCGCTGGAACTATAGTGGCTAAACTTGTCTACAACGTTGATTCTGATGTGAAGGTGCTTTGTATTGTTGTATTAATTTTCTTGGCTCAATCGTGCAATTTGATGCAGGTGCTAAAGCTTGAGCAAGCAGTTGTTGTGTGCCCCCCTGTTTTAATAGCACTGGAGCGTGCAACAAGTGTCCGCGCTGTATTTCTTCCTTGGAGCCCAGGATCTTCGCAGGAGTACCAGTTAAAAGCTGAAGGAGGTTCAGTATTAGAAAAATTTGGTAACTTATATCTGCTAACTGATTGCTTTTGGCTTTATTTTTCCTCTTCTAGGCTGCGGAGATATATCTAGCGATTACGTATGGTCCTCAACGAATCCAAGCGTCGCAACTGTGAATGCACTCGGAAAAATTTTGAGCAAAGGACCCGGGAAAACAGTAATTCGCTCGTCGTCGGCAAAAGACTTGCTAAACGTTGATGAGGTAATAGTGGTCCTGGTTACTGATAAGAACCTACAACTGCTCTTATCTTTTTCAGATCCACGTGGAGGTGTCTGTTCCATCATCCATCTCTGTTGTTCATGGTCTTCCTGTTGAAGTCGAGATAAACACCATTCTTCCAGTCGCCGTGAGCTTGACAACGCCGGCTGGTAAGCTTCTCCTTTTTCTTTGTCATTAAACATTAACCTCGCCAAACAGGTCACGCTTACTCCAGATGTGACGTATATAATAGTTTTGTGCAATGGGACCTTTTCGGTGTGGACGGCAACTTCAATTTTGTGGATTCATCGGGTCCATTTACATTATCGGACATCTCATCTTATTTAAGGCCGGAAGAAAGCTCCTCTCAAGTTGTATGTGCATGGAACGCAATCTTGCCATTGCGACCAGGCAGGGCAACCGTCACGGGATCCTTGAAAGTTTCAACTGTCGAGGCAGCAGCCGCTTTGGAAACGTCTTGGGCGATAGCTTCGTACGCTCCTCTAGCTCTACAACAGGTCTCGGATGGAAATTCTTGCGGTGGATACAGCTGTAGCGACACTTCCGGTCAAAGTACATGTCACAATTTGAAGGAGCTGCTACTTGTTGTGGGGAGTGGCATCAAGGTTATGCTAGTAGGTGGCCCCGAACGCTGGAGGCAGGAATCACAATTTTTAGAGTTCCACGAAATCGTTTCTTCCGAAGCCGGAGGGAAAGCGTCAGAGGAAGTTCTCGTCACTCGCTCAACGGATGGTGGCGGACGAGTCTTCTTCGTTGGCTGTTCCGACTTCGGCAATTACGTAAGAACCTTTCCTTGTTATTACGATGCTTGCAAACTAATTTGTTTCTCTGCATTTAGACGCTCATATTTCGTCGTGGCTACCAAGATCTTGAAGGACCAGTGAACGTTGTGGCCAGTTCTAGTTTACTGGTTGTTTGTGACGTTCCTAGCTCAATCGTTCTCATTATTGACGAGCCAGGTATGCCAACTGCTGTAAATCACTTTAGCTGACTTTCATGTGTTGACACAGATAATAGTCAACATATTATCAAGTCAGTTGTTCAGTTGGAACGTGATCAGGAAAGAAAGCGTTTGCTGCCAGTTACGGTATTAAACAGTCGCTCTATTCGAGTTGCCGCACTGGGTCTTCACAGTTCTGGAAGGCCATTTGCGAACACATCGTCAATGGCTCTTTCCTGGCATTTGGACGAGTGCGATGCTCTCGCATACTGGGATGATCTCGACGTGCCTCCGGACAGATGGGAGAGGATCCTTGGCCTCCAAAATACCGTGGGATTGGTAAGATACAAGTTTAAGAAATCATATTCACGTATTCACTATTCCGTTTGTAGTGTGCAGTAAGAGCGACCTTAACACATCTGAAACAGTCAAAATTACCAGTGTTAACAGTCGTTGCGGCAGCTAGTTTGCTAAAGCAAGCCAAGCCGTTCTTGCATGACACTGCTCAATTACAACTCGTTGCAGCACTAAGGCTGGAGCCAAAGGAGACTTTACTTTTTGGCCACCCAGACGCTAAGGTGAGTTTTCGTGGTATGGTTTTTAAACGGCTAATTGGTCTGATAGGCGACCTTGCAAGTTCTCGGAGGCACGAACGATATTGAGTCACACGTTAATGACTCTAGAATAGCCGTCGTTATTCATCCACCGACTGGACCTCGTGTATCACACCTCGTAGTTGCTGCAAGAGCCATGGGAACTGCAGTTGTTTCTATACTTGACGTTGGTTTGGCTAGTCCTGCTTCAGCAAATGCTTTGGTATGTTTTCAGCTTTTGCAGCGTCCGCTTCAAACTTATTAACCCTTTCCAGGTGCACGTAGTTGACATATCGTGGATCAAAGTTGTACCCGACGTTGTAACCATGGAGGTGAAAGGAGTTACTTTTGTTTACTTTTTACTGAAGGAGTTTGTTGCAGTTGGGAACAATGTTGGAGGTTCACCTGCAAGTAGGGGATAGTACTGGGCGTACCTTTGATCCATCACAGGTATTTTGTTGTGAAGTTTTCCTCATTTGTTCACGTAATTTATTTAATTTGCAGTTTGTGCTTTTTAACATCCATGTCCACCTTCAAGACGAAATTATTAGCCTTGTA